AAAGTGCGGTGATGTATTTTAGTGCAGTCAGAGAGTAGATCTATCAATGGTGAACCGGGATTACGTCAAAGTGCGGTGATGTATTTTAGTTCAGTCAGAGAGTAGATCTATCAATGGTGAACCTGGATTTCGTCAAAGTGCGGTGATGTATTTTAGTGAGGTCAGAGAGTAGATCTACCAATGGTGAACCGGGATTACGTCAAAGTGCGACGATGTGTTTTAGTGCAGTCAGAGAGTAGATCTATCAAAGAGGTTAGTAGGCTACTATTATATTTCTTTGGAGAGTATTAATATTTTTTAAATTTAATTATTTAGCCTAGTGTGAAATGACAATGGAGTATAGGAAACGTAGCCTATAAATTTCAAGAACATGGCAATTTCAGTCTTAGGATAAATCATGATCTACTACCGTAACTCATATAATGAATTAAATTCTTTATTTGTAATCCTTTAGTGGGGAACAGTTCTCACGAACTTACCTTCAGCGAGTACACCCGTGCTCAGAGACTTATTATCCTTGTGTTCCATAGACATGCCGTCAGTACAAATTTTAATTAAAAATATTCCAAATTTTGATTTGCCAACGGGCGGTCGCTTAGTCTTTTCGGATTGACAAAACAAAATCCCTCACAAGGCTTACGTAATCTTTGTTCTTTTCCGCAAGGGATAGGTCTGATGGAAATTGTTTGGTGGTTTTTCCAGATTTGTGCGCTTCGCCATCACAGATGTTGAAGACGTGTTCGTTTTTAATTTGTTGGGGAAAAACCCTAAACTGGAGGGTGCGCCTTTTCGAAAGCGTCAATATTTTGAGAGGAGGTACTGACCATATGTGTGACGACGCGATGAAATCAGGCGCTCGTCAATTTGGGGCATATGTGAGGCAGCGTGGTAGAATCAGGCTCTCGTCAATTTTTGGGCATGTAGAGTTATTGGTATAATCTTAAAAGCTTGTCCACTTGTCTTTATTTGGATGAAAACAATATCCTTTTATCTTGGATACAAGTCAAGATATTGGTGATTGAAAGAGATGGGGTCAACTGGTTTCAGAGCGAAAGATTAGGTTTTTCCTAAACTTGAGAGTCCGTGGAAACTGAAAATTTACCTCTTTTATGCCTTAATTAAATCAGCTTAATCGATAACAACAACAACAACAACAACAACAACAACAACAACAACAACAACAACAACAACAATGCCTTAAATCAACGTTTTTCAGGTACAATCCACACAGAAATATGTTCTTTAAAAGGCATGAAAGGTGTTGAGCTAAAAAACAAAAATACGATGACAGTTACCTAATTGGGTGAAAAATGTTGTTATCTTTGAATTCATTATTTTGGGGAGCGCCTGATCTCACCACGAAGTATTTTTATTCTCTTCCTAGACTCCATCGAAATAGATTGATGGTGAGTTAAGAACGAGCTTGCCCTCACCCCCCC